CATAATAGATGCTGCTCAGCTTTAACCAGTTACCAACTATAATGATGCCAAACAATATAATTACGGATGACAACAGCAGTACCTTCTTTAAAAAAAAAAAACAAAAAAAAAAAACTAGACTTCAGGCCACTTTCCACTATGACCCAGGTCGAAATTTAATCTGAACTATGGAGTACTAAGAGGGTGGAGAATTAGTAGAAGTATGATAGATACCTTGAAGTGAGACTTGTGAATTACATTAGTTACTTTTCACATTGACATGATAAAAGCACCTGACAGAAATAATATAAGGGAGAAAGGGTTTATTTTGACTCACAATTTCAGAGGGATTTAAGGTAGGGAAGGATTGGAAGATGTCATGGAAGTGGGATTGTATGGTGGAAACTTCTTACCTCATGTTGGACGAGGAAGCAGAGGGAACTGGCTGATAAAGAGGCAAGTATAACCTCCAAAGGCCTACCCATAGTGTCCTACTTTCACTACCCAGGTCTCACCCTGTAAATGTTCCACAGCCTTCAAAATATCACTTCAAGCTAGGGGCTGAATATTCAGAACATAAGCCTGTGGTGAACATTTTAGACTCAAACCATAACAGGACCTTTATTCTTTTTAAATTACTGTTAGTGTTGTTCAGTTATAGCAACAGAAAACAAATTAAGACAATGCTCCTCCAAGTAATCCTTAAAAGCAATTAGACTAGGCCTTCACTCTGAGACTTAGACACATCTTGTATTTAGCATTGCTGAAGACATTAGAATCAGTCAGCTAATTCCTGTGTAGAATCAAATTGACCAGTTTGATTCCAAAGGAATCATCAATTACTTAATGTCCACCCCTTGCCAGGCTCTAAGTCCAAAACTTTACTGGGTTAGTTCATCTAGTACCTAAACGAATTTTGAAAATTAGGTATTACTATCTCATATGAGAGCAGTGAGGTCCAGAGGTGTTCTAGAATTACATGTATATTGTTGATAAGGGATTTTATCTCATCTCTGAATCTAAAACCTTATTCCAATTATTCTGATCAGAAGAGCACTGCATTGGGTACCATCATTGCTACCAGATACATGCCATAGTAATAATTACTAATGTCTATATTATGGTCCTTAGGTTTTAGTTAAATAAATCCCCACAAAACCTTTTGAAGTATCTTACTATTATTAATTATTCCCATTTTACGTATGAGAAAACTAAAGCATGAGATTCTTGTTATCAGAATTTTAAGTTGGTATGTATCAAGTTTTTGTAAGTATATGTAACCTATGTTTACCAACTGCAATAATCGGCTTTCTGCCACTGAGACAAATAACCTGAGATAAATAGCATAAAAGGTGGAATGGTTTCTTTAGACTCACTGTTTCAGAACTTTTAGTTCATGACCACTTGTCTCTGCTGCTTTGAGCCTGTGGTAGCATAGAATATCATGCCAATGGGAGTTCCTAGTGGAAGATGCTAAACACCTCAGCACAGAGTCAGGAAGGAGAGAGAAATGAGGGACAGTGAGATAGAAACAGAGGGAGGAGTTGGGAAGAACACAGGAGTCCTGATATTGCCTTCAAGGACACACCTCTGGACACTTCCACAATCGCCTGAACAACACCATAAGCTGGCAACCAAGGTTTAAGCATATGGGTCTTCTGGAGATATTTAAATGTATTTGTTATTTAGACAAATTAATAACAAATATACATGCTTCCATTATCTATTAATATGTAATAAACTACTTCCCTAACTCATTGGATTAAAAGAATCATTTTATTTTGTTTGTAATTTGGTGATTCAGGAATTCAGGAAGGGCTCAGTTGGGCATCAAATGGGGTTACTAGGGCTGGTGGAACAATTTTCAAGTTGACTTTCCATACATTCCTGTGCTTACTTCATCCTTAACTTCCCTGTAACCCTTCACGTGGCATTTCAGCTTTTACACAATTTGGCCTTCTCACAGTTTGATGTTGTCAAACTAGCTAGACTTTTAACCTAGTGTCTAGTTTGTAAGATACAGCACAAGAATTTTCAGGCCAATAAATGGCTGTGGTCAGAATGGGCAGTGCTACCTCTTCCATCCTCTAATGGATCAAAGTACCTTCAGAACCTCTCCCATTTTATGAGACAGAGAAAGACCCCATCTTTACTGGGGTATTGGCAAGGTCACTTTGTAGAAGAACATGTAAGGTAGATCATTTTAAAATGATGTCATCTGCCCTACTCTCTTCCTGCCCAACATAATCAGTCATGGTTTAGAGACTTAAATGTCACAAACAGAATCAAGCTGCTAAAGGAATTGCTATTTATCTCACAGTGCTGTGTCATCAACTTTAGCACTGTAATTTAAGAGAGTGTCCTTACATAATATATGAAGGCATACTTTGCACATTAAGTCTACAACAAAGCAATCCAATAATGTCTTTTGATTGAATGAAATGTCCTAATTGATGAGGCCAGAGAAATTATTTAGTAAAAGGTAATTGTGCTTAACCAATATTCTAAATAATTTTCTAGGCAATGTGAAATTATTGAGTTCAAGGGCTATAGATGTGGGAAAAGAAGCTTATTTTGTGGGATAAGAACTGTACATAAGCCACAGATATAAATATTTTGTCATCTTGACTTGCTTAATACAGGGAAGTCTGCTCATCATCCTGGATAAATATCAACCATTTCCAGGTATGAAGGTGTGCTTAAATTACCAAGGATGATTAATACAGATTTTTTTGCTTACTTTTCTCATTGCTGTAACAAAATTTCTGAGGAAAAAAAACAACTTAATGGAGAATGTTTATTTTAATTCAAAATTTCAAAGGGTTAAATCCACCATGGAGTAGAGGGTGTGGCAGAGCAAGGCAGTTCTTGCTGTGGTGGGCCAGGAAGCAGAGCAAAGGAACATACAGGAAGAGATCAGGGAAAGATATAGTTCCCACAGGCATGGCCCTAATGGCTTTCTTCCTCCAATGAGGCCCCTACTCCTATCTTTTTACCACCTCCAAATAATGTCATTTTGTGAATCTGTCAGAGAAGTAGCCTACTCATTAGGTCAGAGTCATCAGTATCTAGTCATCTCTGAAGATCCCTCACTGACACATCCAAAGGTGGATTTCAATAATTCTCTAGGCATTTCTTTTATTCTAATTTTTAATCGAATTTTTGTGTATTTGCCTCACTGCATTTCATGTACTCTGTCATATACTAACGTAGATGGCCTATGGAGCCATCTTTGTGAACCCAAATGTTCTTCAGTGTGTGTTCATCTACTGGAGGCTGGTTAACATATCTAGCACCACATCCTTAAAGAAAACCAACTCTCCTTCCCCCAGCAGTTATGAGTTGCCAATAATTCCTCAGCTAAGGTTTGGGTTTTTCCCCACTTCCCCACTTCTATGCTGGGTTTCTGTCTGGCTTGAGCCTACTTGTTCTTGTACATGCTGCTACAATTGTAAGTTCATGTGAGTAAGTTCCCAGCTGTCTGGAAAATTCTGTTTCCTTGTGGTCATCAATCACCTCTGTTTCTTAGTCTTTCCTCCCATTCTTCTACAATGGTCTTGGTAGAAGAGCTTTGGATGGCAAAGGTTTGATACGGGTGTCCTAATCAGGAGCAAGCCATCTGAAATCTCTTATTCTCTGCACTTTGGCCAGTTGTGACTTTCTGGGTTAACTACCATCTGTTGCATGAGGAAGCTTCACAGGTGAGAGTTTAGAGATGTATCATTATTCTTTCTTCCCCCTGTTCTACTAAGTTCACTGAGCTTTAGGTGTAAAGATTCCAGTGTAGATGAATCACTTAGGGCTGGACACCTCACAGAAACTTATTCTCTGCATTTGACCAGTTGTGGAACTTTGTACTAGTCTCCATCTGTTGCAAAAAGCAGCTTCTTTGATGAGCAGTGAGAAGTACACTTGCATATAAATACAAGGATGCATATTTAGAATACAGTAAGAAATTACGCTGCTCTAGGGATGTGACAACTTTTTTTCTCTTGGATCTATGACCTCTATAGCCATGTGTATTTGGCCATGTTTACAGTACCACACATGAGTTCTGTCCTATTTAGCTGGCTGTAAGTCCAGTTAGACAGCTATTGATTACTCCCACGATAAAAGTGCTACAACTGCAGCAGTAGATATTATTTGTTAGGCTGGTCATTGTTGTGGTTTATAGACTTTACAGCTGGATGGAATAATTGATTGGTTTTCTCTCTTGGCAGTTTGCATAGCATCTTCTGATATTATGGAAGCTAGTCTTCATGGAGGATGCTTTGTAAGCATTTCTTAATATAGTCAAATTGACAATCAAAATTAACTACCATACAGATTATACCAGAAGCTAGACAATATTTAAAAATATAGATACCAGTCTCAACTTAAAAATGAGGCTCAGAACTTCAAGAGTGGGCCACTCGAGCTGGTTTTAGTGCCCAAATGACTACATAACCTGGATGTACATCACTGTCTGTGGATTTAAGATGGAAATGACTCTGCCTTATAGAATCCATGACTGTTAATATTGTGCCTAATCTTAATTTTTTCAAAATATCTTTTTGCATTGTTTTTAGCATCAACAAGCGTTTGTCAAAAGAGCAAGCATATTTCCGTAGTAGGTTTCTATAATTTACATTATATTTTAATTAACTCCTAAAATCCTTATCATTTTATGTGCATTTTCAACCTATTCACCTTATTTGCATCTGTGTCATTGCAAAAGGCAATCATGAGAAAACTTTTTACATGGGTTATTTTCCACAGTTAATAATATCAATATTTAAGTCATTAGTACTATTGGAATTGTGCTTCTTCAAGAATTTTATGACAGTGCTTCTAAGACCGTGTGTGAGAATCTAGATCAAAGAAGCAACCTAGTTCATCTAGACCCCGAATTTGACTGTCTCATAGGAAAGATAAAAGCATCCCTATTTCACCCGGGTGGTGCTGGTCCCTATGCTCTGAGGGAGGGTCCGCGCCACCCACAGCTGCCAGAGGATCCCGTCCGGCCGTAGTAAGCATTAATAATGTCATTCATCTTTAAGTGGATCTACAATGGCTTCACCAGTGTGCTTTAACTCCTAGGACTCTATAAGAAATCTGGAAAGCTTGTATTCTTGCGTTTGGACAATGCAGGCAAAACCACTCTTCTTCACATGCTCAAAGATGACAGATTGGGCCAACATGTCCCAACACTACATCCCACCTCAGAAGACCTGACAATTGCTGGAATGACTTTTACCACTTTTGACCTTGGTGGACATGAGCAAGCACGTCAGGTTTGGAAAAATTATCTCCCAGTGATTAACGGGATTGTCTTTCTGGTGGACTGTGCACATCACTCTCGCCTCATGGAATCCAAAGTTGAGCTTAATGCTTTAATGACTGATGAAACAATATCCAATGTGCTAATCCTTATCTTGGGAAACAAACATAGTGAAGAAAACCTCCGTGAGATATTTGGGCTTTATGGACAGACCACAGGCAAGGGGAATGTGACTCTGAAGGAAGTGAACGCCTGCCTCATGGAAGTATTCATGTGCAGTGTACTCAAGAGGCAAGGCTAGGGCAAGGGTTTTCGCTGGCTCTCCCAGTATATTGACTGATGTTTGGACAGTGAAAATAAAAGAGTTTTACTTCTCTGGACTGTTCCTATTCACAGCTTCCTCATGAACTTTTCTGATAGAACAAGGAAAGCTCTCCAACCATGTCTGGCATTGAGAAGCCAAGCGTCTGTCAATGCTCATCACCCAGTGGTGACATGTGCTCTTCACACTGTTGGGAGGTAATGCTGCCCACATGCTGGTGCAGGTCAGTATCCACGGACTTGGAGGCTGGCAGGATTTGCTAGGTAAAGCTGTTTTTGTTATCATGGGACCCCTGAAAAGAAAAGCACGTCTCACCACTGTGGTTGATTTCAAAAGAAAGTGATTCTATTTTTTAAAGAAAGTATTGTTATTGTAATCACTATCCTCTAACTTTTTGAGATAAATATTTACTTGGTCCAGAGTTTTCTATTTTATTTTAACTAGTAAATGGAATTTAGATATTTCATAAAATTATGAACAGATAACACATTGGAGGCCAGTGCTCCCTTGTATGTATAACTGCCTTTTTGGAGATGGTGTCTGTGTGCACCGAGAACTAGGAAAGGACAGAGCCCTGGCCTCACAGTTGTGGCAGGTTTCCACTATGGTAAGGGGGTGCCCCTTGTCTTGCAGTGGCCAGCAGATTGTTCACTGTGGAAGGATGGGTTGTAAAGTGAGTTATTGTTACTGTATTTTTTTACTTACAAAGTTACCAGTTTCAGCACTCTGCTTTTCTGCTGTGGTGTCATTTCTTTCTGCAGCTCCTTCCTTTTGCATCATCAGTTACAAAAGCGATGTTTGCCTCATGAAAGAGTTGAGAACATGTCTCCTATAGTCTTATGCTTAGAGTCAGATACTTTTGTGCAGATTCTAAGGGAAAAGTGTCTGAATAACAGGGCACAGGGCAAGGTCAACAGCTGAAGAGCTCTTAATTCTGTGAGTCAGGGGCTTGGCCATCTGCGGTGGTAGTACCAAGTGAACTTAGGACCGACTTTGTGGGCTCTAAGTTTCCACTTGCAGAATTTGGTTTCTGGGGCTGTTCATGAGCTGTTTTTTTTTTTTCTTCCTGGTTATTTGTTTTGTTACTGTTTAAAGGTTAACATTTGAAGCTTTTCCAGGTTTGGGCAGGGTGTGAAGTTGTTTTTCTCCATTTCAGACATAAGCAGAGAAAACATTGAGTGTAAGACTTCCTATCTGACCCTAAGGCAGCAAAGCTAGTGTGGAAGCAGCAGCTGCCTGTGAGAACGTCAATGGGTTTTTATAGCATTTCGTTTTCTTGGTGCCACATGTGAAATTGGGTTTTCCTGATGCTACCTTATACTCCCGTAATATAGATAAAAGGATAAGATATGGGAGGGTGTCTATTATTTCATTTCATGAAAGGTGAGAGGTAGTTTCCTCAAGTGAAAATTATGATGATGATGCTTCTTTTGGGAGAACTTATGTCCAGTGATAGGGTGGCGATTGTGGGTAACATACTCCTGGAGAGTGAGTTCTCATTGTTAATTTGAGCACGGTCCTAGTGGGGCAGTGTTCTGTTGCACTGCTGGGTTCTAAGTGCATAGCCTAGGTGAGGATCTGTCTGGCAAGTGCACACATTGCATGTATCCAAGCATAGCTGGAGTGAGAACGGTTGATGTGGAAAGGGTCATTAAACCTCAGGTAAATGAACTAGGTGGGTAACTGGCTAAAGGCTGACTACGCTTCTCTGTCCAGGAAAATGACAGGTGTGATTGCCTCAGTGTTAGTTTCCTATTTGTGTTTTCCCTGTTTGGCCCTAATCTCTCTGTAGCAATCTAGAGAACTATGGGCTTTACTCAGGGCATCTCTTTGTGAAAGTGGTTTATTCTGGCCATTGGAGAGAGAGGTGACTGCAGAGTGGCACCAGTCTGTTTCCTGCCCCACGGAGCTCCATTCCTAAAGTAAGGGAGTTGAAAAAGCTGCTGCAAGGAGCACAGCTCTCCCAGAGGGCCTGGGCTTTGTGCAAAATGCCATGAATTGAGACCCTTCATTCTGTCTAGCAGAGTGCACATATGTCCTATTCCAGCAAAAGTAAAGCTGTCATTACAAAAGGTCAGTCTGTATCCTAAGCATTTCAATAAAAAGCTAAACCAAAATTTTTTTTAAATCCCTATTTCCCTAAGCCTAACGCGAAAAATAAAAATCTTTAATTTACATTCACATAGGATATATCTGAACAATACTCATTTCTCTGCACTGATTATTCCTTCCCTTGTATTCAATGATGTGTTTGAGTTAATGTAAGGAACAAGAAACGAGAGAGAGAGAGAGAGAGAGAGAGAGAGAGAGAGAGAGAGAGAAAGCGAAAGCGGGAGAGAACACACGCCCACACATTTTGTTTCTTGAGTGTGATAAACTCCTTAGTGCTCACTGTGAGGGAAAGATATTATTTATTTGATCTCATCCAATATTATCTCACCTGTTCTTTAACGTTCATAGTATCAGTGATACTCATTCATCAAAAGTTAATTTAGGTATAGAACATTTACATGTACTTACATTCCTTTTTTATATTTTATTGTTTTTATTTTATGTGTATGAGTGCATTACCTGCATGCATGTAAGTGTACCCATGTCACGCAATGCTCATGGAGGTCAGAAGAGGACTTTGAATTTTCCTGGAACTGAGTCAAGGGCAGTTGTTAGCCACCATACGGGTGCTGGGAATCAAACCTGGGTCCTCTGCAAGAGCCAATGCTCTTAACTTCTGGCTCTTACATTCTTCTTTTTTTTTTATTAGAAGAAGCATTTCATTACAACAGCATTAACCTATTCAATAACATTTTTCTGAGCTAGGGTACAACTCAAAATTGGCTGTATATTTTTAGGTTTACAGATGAATTATTACGCTTGTACAGTCTTTTACTCATTATAAACTCTATAAGACATAAAATTAAATTAGGTTTTAATGTTTAAAAAAGATCTCCAGACTACTATCCTCAGGC